AACCAGCCTTTTCGCTTGCTTCTCTAACTTTAACTAGCAGCTGTTGTAGTTCAATCATATTGCTGGCGTATCTTAGATTGGATATTTTGTATTCTACAGTTCCTTCAAAATTCTCTAGAGCCTTTCTCATAATTGTTTCAAAATATATATTAAAAAGGTGTGTAGACAGAATGCAACCTTGTCGTACTCCCTGGTTAACTTCGAGCCAATCTCTTAACCCATAAGTGGTTCTTACAGCTACTTGTTGTTGGTCATACATGGCTTTTATTAGCTGGATGATGTGTTTCGGAAATTTCATATCGTTCATGTTATTCCAGAGGTTATCGTGTCAAAAGCTTTCATGGAATCGATGAAACACAGATACAGGTCTCTCTGATGTTCTCTGTTTTTCTCTATGATCAATTTCAGATTCAGGATCTGGGTTCTGGTACCTTTTTTAGAGCGAAAAACCTGCTTGTTCATTTGCAATTTCTTCTTTTAACTTTATCTTCTTTCTTTCAGCAGTAACTTTCAACAAAATTTTGCTGCTGTGACTTATTAATGCAATTGTCCTGTTGTTACTGCATTAGAGTGCGTCACCCTTTTTGGGGATAGGAGTAAAGACTGACTTTACCCAGTCTTCTGGCCATCTTTCATTCCAAATCCTTGTAGAAAGTTTGTGGAAAAAGTATTCAATGCTTTCGCCAGCATTCTTGATTAGTTCTGCTGTTATTTCATCTATTCCCGGGCTCTTATTATTTTTTAATCCTTTTATGGCTTTTCTAACTTCGTCAAGCAGCGGCGGTGGTTTATCTTCGCTGTCATTGAATCTATTTAATGTTGTTGTTAGATCTTCATTCTTTTTGTATAGGTTGGAACACTATTGATTCCATCTATCTTTGACTTCTTTTCCATCACATAAAACTAGACCATCTTCAGTTTTGATAGTGTCCATTGTAGGCTTAAATTTTCGTGTAATGTATCGTACTCCTTGGTAGAGTTCTTTAGTTGTCTTGTTGATAGAGCAGAGAGTGTAGGGGTGTATTATTTGTCATGTTTGCGTGTTGTGCTCTTGCATACTACAGCAAGATGTCCATTCTGTATTTTGGTGATGTCAGGGTATCATCCGTGCTGGTTACCAGGATGTTTCCCTCTGTGAGGTGTTCGTGGAGTTTAGTAGCTATGGCTATGTTATATTGCTCTTCGTTAGAGAAAAACTACCTTATTCGTCCCTTTTGTATTTCCTGTCTGATGTCGTTTTCCTTGGGGTCGTACGGGTCACCTGAGACTAGGGTTGCCTGCTCAGTTGGGGGGGGGGGGGGGTTCTTTAGGCAATGTCTGTAGTGGTGTTGGTACAGCATTCTTTTTGGGGGCTGATGGCCCTTGAGGGGCAGCTTGCTGCTGCTCTGGTCTAACCAAGGTGTCGGGAGGCTGGGTTGCAAAGTATGTGGGAGTGATTGGGGAGATATGATCAAGTCGAGTCTCCAAGGCTTGAACGTGTGAAGCCGTCTCCGAGGGCTTCCTGACTAGGGGGAAGGGAGAGGTTGAACCACCCTAAGAATCCTTCAGGAGTCAGCTCTCCCAAGGTCGAGGTCAGGGAGGTAATTCCTGTTTAGAGCCTCCCTGGCGTGCTCTCTAAAGCCTCGTTCCGGGTCTATTATGTTCTGGAGGTGCGCATGCACCAAAACTATTTCTTTTGACAGGTTGTTTTGCTGGCTTCTCTTGAAAGTTTTCGGATGGGACAACTGTTGGCGAAGGTGCGGTGTGCCCCACCACAGTTAAAGCATTTTTGAAAGGACTTGTTCAGTTGCGGTAAGTGTGGGTGTCAGATCCACACTCAAAGCATCGAGGTTTCTTTTCCTCCTTGTAGCTGGACTTCAGGTGACCATAGGCATAACAATTCATAGATTGTCCCACCGGGATGAATCGTTCAAATTCGATTTGCCACGGTGCGACATATAGTTTGAAGAAGTAGGTGCCTTCTTCTTTAATTTGGTTTGCCGAGGCATGGTCGGCAAATCTTGCTTTCATCATGTACAGTGTTTTCATGACATGGACATTTTCCACTGTAGCGTGGGTAGCTGATGCCATGATTTCCTTGGCGATGTCTTCGCTGGTCTTGCTGACGACCTGTCTGTTTAAAGACTAGGGTGAGTTTAGCTCGCATATCGAGTAGAAGGACAGGTGAAAAACCCAAATTCTCTAGTTTAGAGGTGGTGGTGAGAGAGAAGAGATTTTTTGCTTGTTTGTTGTCCTCTATCAATGCAATATACCCATCATGGGTTGGATAGCACCGAAGTACTCTTATCTCAGCCTCGAAGAGTGCCTGGGCGAGGAAGTTCCGAAGGCTCGGTGACGGGCCGCCATTGGGGTGCATGTGGCCGTCAGGAATGGAGTGAGTGAGGATGCAGGTGATCGGTGAGATGATAAAAAGAGGATAAAGATATTTAGAGGGAGAGTAGGTGAGGAGGTTGTAGTCGATGGTGATTGAATGCTCTTCAGAAGGAGTTACTGGAGCCTACAGCCTCAGCGTCAGCCTGGTTGCGTTCTCCAGTGCACTGAAGGATTTGAGCTTTGTGTTAAGCCTCTCCCTTATTGCCAATCCTTGCTACAAAGGGGCAACAGGTAAGAAGCGCACCGCCTAGACGATTACAAAAGTCTTGGGGTCTTATTTAGGTCCAGATGGCCACAAGAAGTTGAAGAGGTTTAGGAGGAGAAAAAACACACCGAAATGTCACCTCAGACTGCTGGGCCTCCTTATACAGGTTTCCCTGTGATAGAGAGAGCTACGGGTCTGATACAGGGGTCTGAGGAGAGGTGTAGTGTTTGCGTGTCACTGTCAGTAAGCAAAGAAGAAAAACCGCTGAGGGCAGTGGCTAAGCAAATATTCTCTGAAAACAGAGATGATTTACTATACATTTACGTTAATAGAGAGTATATAATAACAAGAGGGGGATCGCGGCGCGATTGAGGCCCCGGCAGACCAAGGTGGCTCAATAGCACATTGATATACCGAATTGCTATTATTGCTACTCTCTTAGCGTGGGTAAACATACTCATACATACACACACACACATTTACAAACACACACACACATATGTGTATATATATCATATCACACTTGTTAGGTATGTTTCACCTCTACACATGTTTTGTACATTTCCACAATGTTTCTGTCTTTTTTTCAATTTTTAGCCTCTTTGTTGCCTATTTTAGGAACGATTTTTTTCTTTTTTCTTGTATCTAATTATGTATTATGTTCATTATTTCTGTTTCTGATGATGTAGATTTAGTAAATCATTGAAACAATAAAGATATTCACTACAGCCCTGGTTCTCATTTTCATTCTACGTCTACGATTACCTAGTGGAAAATTAACTGCTATATGGCATGGACCATGCAGCACGCAGTAATCCCTTGGACGTAGTTAAGATAACGCAGCCGATTAATCGACTACGGTATGTAGAACCATCGCTGGACCTATATTGTCGACAAAGGTCCTGTATGACTAATGCGTTGTTGCCCCTCCGGCGATTCCACGCAGATGCATTACCGCGCTGAAGGGAAGAGAAGGGAGAGGGATGAGAAGAGGGGGAAGGGGCAAGGGAGGGGGGGCTGACGAGGGCACCCAAGACGCGGGCGAAGAGGCCCTTGAGGAAGCGGCAGCCGCCCAAACAGCTGCCTCTGAGGGCCGGCGACGTCCCTGTGGGTGAGGCGGTGCCGGAGCCAAGATCAGGGCCTTCCGTCGCCCTCAACGGAAAGAAAAGCTCACTCGGCGCGAAATACGCTCTTCTGATGGCGGCGCATCAGTTCCATGATCTGGGATTTCATCCTCGGGAGGATTTCGAAGCTGTCGCTTCTGTCAGTCAGCTGATGTGCAGTGGGTTTTCTGCTGCCGAGAGCTGGGTATTTTTTTTTTTTTCTTCTTTTTTTTTGCATATGAGCACACGCGCGCGCGCCTATTCCAGTATGCACATATATTCATATGTAAACTGTAGATCATACCTCTAACGAATGTGTGAATATGTATTTCCCTTCGATGAGACCATCGTCATTACCCAGGCTGATATAGGTGGGGGCATTGTTGTTATGGACAAAAGTGATTATATAATTAAGATAAACAATTCACTTTCCGATGCTTCTGTTTACAGGAAAGTAACGAAAGGTGAGGGGAAGATGAAAGTTGCCAGGCCTCTCTCAATAGTGAACTGAGAGAGGCCTATGTCCTACATATATATATGTGTGTGTGTGTGTGTGTGTGTGTGTGTGTGTGCGGCATGTGTGTATGTGTATACACAGGTATGTAGATACTGTGCATATGTATGTATGTATGTATCCATATTTCAGTAAAGATGGTAAGCAGCAAAAAATATATAGATGTCCTGTAATCAACAATTTTTATACATATAATTACGCTACGTATGTTTTCATGTCAAACATATCTATGCTTGCAATTACGTCTTATTTGGTCTCTAAACAGAAACGTTTACAGTGAGAAAGGTAAGCAACAAAATTATGAGTCATAGTCACATTCGATTAACTGTAAGCATGATGATGACAACGATAATGATTTACATGGTGAAACCGTATAATGCATATGATGATATTTGTGATTCGCAGTGATGTGATTATCCTTCTCATTATTACTATCATCACCATTATTAGCGTCACGGTTGTTGTTGCTGTTGTTATCATCGTTAGTAGTAGTAGTAGAAGTAGTAGTAGTAGTTTCAGTTGTGGTATTAGTAATAGCAGTAGCAGTGGCAGCACCATTACTATAATTTATTATTATAGTTATAACTATCGTTTTTAGTGTCATGATCATACACTCTTTATCACTATCATTGTAACTAATAAAAATTACGAAGTTAGTATAAAAGTAATGGCAACACCCAGTAAAGATAAGTATGGATTGCTTCAGAAAAAAGCATGCTATCACTACCCTCACCTAGATAATAGCGTTCTTATTCATAAATGATAAATGATTACATTATGTGAATCAAGCAGTTAATATTCACGC